CTATTACTATCGTGGCTACATGATTTACTACTTTTACACAGGGAGATAAAGAAACTATATAGCGAAAGTGCAAGGTATGAAAAATTTGTCGAAATTTTTCGTAACAGTGGCTCAATCATATGACTGTTACTCAAGGTGTGTAAACGCGACCATGAGGGTGCAAACACGGCCGTTTGAACCTGTTACTGTGGTCGACTTGCATAATCACAGGGAAATAACCGGGAAATGGGGGTGTGAACATGTGTAAGCGTCCCGGTAGTAGTGTAGTCGCTCCCATGGTTGTGTAAACGCAGCCTTTAGGGTATAAACGCTCCCGAAATTAAAAATGTATTTAAAGACCCAACACTCGAAGCAGTAGAGATTAGAATTTGTTAGTTCTATCTTATGATACAATAAAGAATACCATTCCATCCTTAAATAATTCGTTTCGCTCTCGCTTGAATAAAATAAATACTTATCTGAATATTCCCTTGTATCTTGTCTCTTGAATTCGACTTGTAACTTTAATAAACCCCTTCGAGACTCAATTTGACGGACTGAATTAACTTGTAACTTCGACTTGGCTTATTAAGACTCAGATTCTAGACCGGTTGTGGAATAAGATATTACCATTTACCTTAGTTACTTGCGAGAATTGTGGTAGTGAACGAGACTTCCGATTAGTTATTCGACCCTGTTAATCCCTCACGTGGACTTAAAGTTATCACCGATATCACTTGATCATCGTCCGCTTTTACCTCACCATCCTTATTGAGATATCCCTAACAGCATCACCTGTAGTTGCACCACCCCTAGTAATATTAAAACCTTCGCTTCATAGTATCATATTGTCTAATAAACCTCCGACAGTTATAAACGACTCCCTTCATTTCTCTGAGTTTATCATTATCTCCTCGTACACCATTAGGGTTAAATTGGCATTCTATCCACATAATTCTATTAAGCTCTCCCAACAACGGTTACAATGTCGGGATTTTGTGGTAAAACCGTAGTTTATATGTTTGTTATACACTCCTCACAGATTTCCTAAATTACGAATAAGATCTCAAGATTAGATGTGACGTAACATGACCAGAAAAATTTAAAACAAACGTTCGTTTTACCAAAAATCGTTAATTTTCTGAAAACCTGCGTAAGAAACCACCTTTAGTGCTCTAACAAAAAGTTTTATTGCGCAATTTTACTACATACCTCTATATTGTCTAACCATAATATAAACGCTTAACCTTAATATATTTAACATAAACTTTAAAGAATACCCAAATAGAAGTGATATAAAAGCATACTTAATATAACGTACTATTCTAACAAAAATAAGTAACGCGCATGATAAAACCTAACGCAACACAATGAACGTTAAAATTCAACTTAGAAAACAAAAAAGGCAAGCATTATGAAATGTTTAGCATACGTATATTTGGCAAACATGGTCAATCATTCTCAAATAAAATTATCAATAATACCTTATATGCAAATCGATTTTAAGAATCAGTATGGGCTAAGCCTAAGTTCATTGACAGTAAATTAATGATCGACTTTACGTTATTTCCTGCAATTTGCGGTTATAGTTCACAGCCTTGTAAAACCGATCGATAAAATCGATTATCTTTACTTCAACGCTTACTCACGTGAGGATAAAAATTTTAAATCGAAAAAAACAACTTGTCAATAATTATTCAAATCAAAAAAAAGCAAAAAAAGCAAAACAATTAATGCAATAAAGTCGAGTTAAGCGCTCATATCAACCGAATCGATTATAAGGCGAGTCGGCGACATGACCAGATACACCAGACCTCATATACTAACATGAAATACGTAGTTTTAAAAGGTATAATTAAAATTTCACGACACTTAACCTTTCTTGTTTTCGGTATTTCAGGCTGAGAAAATCTACCGTAAACAGATCTGTCTTTAAAATAGCGTTAAACAGCCAATCAAATCAAATTCGAAACATGTTCCATTAAATAAGAGATCACCTGATATAAGTAAAAAAATATAAACACAACCAGAGTACGATAAAAAATATTGGGGGGCTTGATCAAATCATTCTGATCATTCATTCGCGCAAGTAGTTCAGTAGTACAGAGGTGTGTATAACATAAATAAAATTTTTGGACGGTGATCATTACTGTTCCAGTCAAAAAGGAAAGGTGGCGTATCACGAGTAAAGGAGTAACTAATAAATAAGACGTTCCACGGTTGATCATAGGCTTAAACGGTAATGATATTCGGAAGTTGGAAAAAAAAATATTGGAGTGGGTTAATAAATAAACAAAAGTGCTATAATCATAGATTTATGCATAAAGAACTCATCGAAAAGCAAACACTAAGCTTTTTTTGAATACCATTTTTACTTCGCATATGGAATTATAATTGTATAGTAACATCAATTTCACAATAATTTCCGGAATCACAAGGGTATCTTGGCAATCGATCTTTTCACTATGACGGTGTAAGCTATAAAGGTTGTTACAATCTAATCTATACAAGGTAAAAAGCGATGTAATCTAATCATATATAGAATTAGCATCACAAATTTCTAAATATCAATCAAAATTCTTTGCGATAAATCCTTTTATTTAATGCTAAAATAATCACTTTTTATTGCTTATGATAAAGTCTAGGTCTATTCTAGTTGGTTAAGAGTAAAATAGTTCTGACAAAAATTATTGTAAAAATAGATTTAATCCATGTTTCGTAAGTAAAATGCTCTTTTTTGCTACTCAAATATATGATCGAAAACATTCTTTTTTTTTAAAAAAAAGGATTATTTGTTTTTAGCGATTAGATCCGAATTATTTATTTTATCGGATTTAAAAAATCGATTACATAATTATACGTAGCGGAGTAACATTACTAGATTTTTATCATAAGATGTACAATGTGACTTGTTTTGTCTGCCCAATAAGTTGCAGTAGCTTGGATATTTGTTTATACAACTTAGTACTAGCCATTGTGTAGACTTATATCATTAATGATTTCCATCAGTAATTATGGATTTAATTATTAGTTCGTCAAGTCAACGTGAAACAAAATTTTTGGGAATTGTCACTGGTACGTACGTACGTATGCACGTATGTAACGCTTAATTTCAGAATATATTATAATTGACAACAATGAATTCTCAATCATGTTGCTAAAAAAAATGGCTAAGGTTTAAATATGAAACATAAGAAGTTTAGCAGTTACAAATATCGAGAAACAATACCTGTTAAAACCTCTCGGGACAATAGGCTTTTAGAAGTTTAATAATAGTGAATTAATAGAACAACGTATATCGTTTCACAAACTAGTGTAAAATTAGATGGTTGGTACCATATTTGTGCTTATAGATAAATAATAAACAAAGCAAATTAGACAATTTTTATTTATACTATAAGAAAATGCTAAAAATGTAACAACGGTAAAAAAATGCTTTTATTTTAAAAAGACGCACAAGGATGCCGAAGGATCGATTAAACGATTTTCAGCATTAGAACTTATCTGTAAATTTATTACATCGAGTTTATCGAGTCTTTCTTATATCAAGAACTTTTTTTATATAGAGTTAATTATACGCCGTCTTCTTTTCTTGTTGGGCCTATTAGCTTTACTTCAGGAAAAACTGCTACCCGTTAATTATTATTACACATACAATATTTTCCAACACTGATTGTATAATGGCACAAAATTCAATGTATTCTTTAGTTAGTAGGAAAGTCGCAAAGAAAGAAATAGTATTAATCAAATATGAAACCATCCAAAAACGACCAACTATAAGTTTAGTGGAAAACTTTGAAGGGGCCAATGACGAAGACATTAAGAAACTGATACTAGAACTTAAGCCAATTGAACATGAAAACGTGCTTAAGGTCTTTGGTCTTACATTTGGTAAGCATTCCAACTAATATGCGAGAAATCTTGGACCATATATGATATTCCCCATTCTTCCTTAGGAATAACAGATCAAATTATATTATAAGAGGGAGGAATGGCATAGTTCCGTTCAATTTTGATAAAATATTAAATAATTATTAGAACTATTAATATATGGATTAGGGTGCTTGATAGTAATTTGAAACTTGAGCAGCCACTATAAAAATGGTACTAGACTAGACAACACAGAGCATCAAAATCTTATCCATTCAAATGGCATAATTGAGGAGACAAACTTCCGTTATTAATATGCAGCATTTTTCCTTTTTATTTTGATACAATAGATGAAAATAACAGATGTTATTATGTTGTCCGAGAATATGCTAAAAATGGTGATTTACGCACTTATCTTTCGGTTTCTTCGCTAGCATGGAATGATAAATATTCATTATCACTCCAAATCGTCAATGGTTTGAAATTTCTCCATGACAATGGAATTACTCATTCGGAATTGGTAATATTTCGCGTTTTTTTTTTTTTTTTTTTAATAATACGCTGCCAAATGAAACACGATGCATATAATGACCACATCAAGAAATTTTTAAATAAGCTTATCGATTAGCAACCAATCAAATATAGAAACACCACTAACGGTTTATATCATTGGCATTGGTCTTGATTTGTTCCGCATCATTTATGAGCCGATTTTGAGCAAGTTCTGACATAATAAGATTTTTTTTAACAATACTAGCAGAAAACCCAATTTTTTTACAAAACTCGTTCAAAACTGGCACACAATCGCTGCGGAATCGATTAACATCTTTAATTATTATGAGTAAAGATTTAGGCACTTTGCAGTCATGTGCTGGTCTCTTAATCCAAAAGGTTCGCAAATATTGCAAAATTTGTCTAATCGGGTAAATGATTGGCTGATAGCACCGCGCATCGGCTCATGTCGGCCAATAATTTGATCAATTGGACGAATTTTGTGGTATTTATCAACGCATGAATCAATATACGTTATCTGGAAATTCATGATCATGATTCTCAAGTCGTCATTGACTATGAATAATGATTACGACATAACACAAAAAATAACAATCTATATATGATCATGAGAATTTGCCGGATAACTAAACGCTATTGTTAAATTATAAATACCCTATATGTAAAATTACAAGTGCTATTTTCACATGCATAAATGCTATTGGATTTGCAGATGTATCCGGAAACATTCCATCATTATCGTTATACAGATTTTTTAATAAAGAACTGTATAACTATATGGCTACTCTGGCTGGCCATTTTAACTTTATATGAATAACGATAATGAAATTGGTATGGTCATATGCTAACACCGAGCGGAGTTGTGGTGCATATTCTCCGATGCAGATTGACACGTGACTTCAAAGTGTGACTTCAAAGTGTGACTTCAAAGTGTCACTTCAAGTACTGTATCACTTCACCGATACGTAATCATTTCATTTGAATCCAAAAAAAAAAAAATTAATACCTTTACAGCTCATATCTTGATGAATTTTATGGTTTCATTTGGCATTATTTATATTGAATATTGTCGTGCCTGAAATTGGCATCTGCTTGAAGTTACTATTTCAAGCGTCTGAAGTAGCATCCTTCTGGAATTACTGCTTAATATACGTGAGATTCAATTTCAAGGGCTTAATTTTGGCCAGGTGCAACTTTAGTAGCAACTTCAAGCGCGCGATCAATATCGCAAAGTTCAATTCATGCATACTTATTTATTTATTAAATTTTAGCATCCAGAAAATATTTTAATACATAATGGTATTCCCAAATTAACCAACATTTGGTTGTCAAAATCTAGAGCATCCACCAAATTCTTATTTGTCCGATATTGTCCTCCTGAGATTTTGTCATCACGCAATATTACCCCTAATAAAATGAAATTAGACATTTATAGATTAGGCGTACTTTTGTGGGAAATTTCAAGTAATGTTGAACCTTTTAGTAAAGGTTATAATCGTTCTTCAACCCTTGCAATTGATATTCAAAAAGGTGTTCGGGAGTTACCCATAAGTGGAACACCACCTAAATATATTGAGCTCTATAAAAAATGTTGGGACAATAATCCTGGTATAAATCATTTTATATTATATTTCTTTATTTATAAAGTTTTTATCTAACATATAAGACATAATTTTTTTATTAGATCGACGACCTAATTGTGCATATATTCTTGATGAATTAAATGCACAAAAGACGACTATCAAATCTCATAGACTTAGTGATCCTAATTCGAAATATGGGAAATTACAACAATTAAGAATAGAGTTTATTAATCTTTTCAGTTTAAATAAAGGTAAAAATTGTAGAGAATACGATTTTGTTCATGGAGAAGGGATTATTTTACGTGATGATGGAGAATTAAAAATACAAAAAACCATCCAGTCAACTCCAATTATTTATTTTTCGAAAAAAGGTTCTGTGTTTTCTGATATTATTATGGATGTAGAACCAGAAAATGATTATATGAGGATCCATTTTCCAATTTGTACAGTTCAGTACCAAAGTGAGGCAACGGATGAATTTATTCTTGACATCAAAAATACAATGAGCATTCCAGATAAAAGTAAGAAACTAGAAATGTTAAAAAAGAAATTAAATAGCTATGGTGATTATATAGTTACTGAAGCCATTCTTGGTGGCGCTATTACAATTAAAAATTGGTCCAAGATTGATGATGCATATAAATCTCGTTTAAAGTCCTACATTAAATGGGGAATTGACTATGCAAAGGGTAAAAAATTAAATGTTTTTGAAAATGTATCACTTGATGGCTTGCCTCCATTACCTTCGTTCGAAGCCTCAGAACCTATGAAATGTGTTGGAGATTTATACAATTGGCTTAAAGACTTATATCGTTATAAAAATTTGGAGATAATATCATATGAAAAGATTAAACCATCCTATCAGTCATTGCCGAATGATTTAATTCAGCAAATACACCAATGTTCTAGTCCTCATTTAAGTAAAACCTACTCATCATTAGTTCCTCAAATACCTTCTCAATACGATAGTAAAGATGTTTTGGAATGGATAAAATCATCAAAACCCCCATTAGAATTATACATGCGTGACTGGATACATAATAATTTATTGCAACATGGGGTACTTTTACAACGTTCTAAGCTAGGACATGGAACAAAACCTGCATTAAAATTTTTGAAGGAACCTGAAATAACTCCGATAAATAAAGTTACTATTTTAATATCACAACCTCAAACTCTCCAAGAAGCTTATCTATTAGAAAATGGCATTATTTTAAAAGATGAATTAGAACTTGATAGCATCCCCTTTGCTGAATACAATTCATCGCTTGATCGTCCATTAGTGGAGTTCAAGAATTCTAAATGTTCTGATAAAGTTTATTGCCAAGTAATTTTCCATGCGGTGAAGATTTCTTTTGACCCTTCAAGCATCAAATACCTACAACAATTTTCAGATGCAGTGGGCTCTACTTTAGAAACTCATGAACCATTTAATAATCTCTGCACGCTGTTTGGAAATGATTATGGACATTTGTTATCAAGAATTTTTACTTTAGGTGGAATTTTATCAAGGTCATTTAAGCCTCGTAATGACCTAACAAATTTTATTCATGCACGAAAATTTGAATTTGATATAAATGATCCTGATGCGCCTCAAGAAATTGAAGAAATTTTAAAAATATGGAGTGGAGAATCACAAGACATTGATACTTCATTATTTCTTAATAATGATGGGGATATTATTCGTCGCAGTAACATTGGAGATTGGTGGAAAACTCTTGCTGATAGTCCTAGCAATTGGAAAGTTATATCTTCAGAAAATTGGATGCCATTATATAAAGTTTTAGATAATACAAATCAAAATATTGAAGCTATTTTGAATAATGAATTTCATCTCGTTTTTAATGGAAAAGAATCATTAAATAAGAATCAAACCACAGTAATTATTAAATTTCCTGGAACAATTGAAAATAATTATTATATTTTTGGAAATGTTGTGAAAGAAAATAATGAAGGTGATTTGGAAATAATTCCGGAGACTACTGTTCAATTTAGGTATCAAAATAAGGACGGATGTGCTGCATATATTCTCAAAAATCGTAAGACAAGGTATGATTATTATTACAATTAATATTATTGATTTTATGGCCTAAAAATTTCTAACAATTATTTATCATGCTCCAAAGTTTAAATGTAGGCAATTTAAAATTTCTTTGGTTTGTGCTTGCTAAACCAAATGGATATTATAGTAATAAGAACAGAAATGTTAAGTTCACCTATGGTGAACTTGACATTGATAATAGTCAGTCTGAGATTACATTGAACAGTGAAAATATTTATTCAAATTGCGTTCTTATGACTTCATTTGTTCCCAAAACACAAGATGACACGATCATTCATGATATTGCACTCAAAGCTTGGACAAAAGCAACGATTGAATTAAAAGTTCAGAGAAAAGAACGAAGTGATAATTTAAATCAGGAAGTTATAAAGAAGATTGGACTAATTGGCACTTCAGATGAAGATTCAAGCGACGATTCTGAAAGCACGATTGGAAATAATTCAGCACAAGAATCTCATGAGAAGACGACTCTTCAATGGTGTATAATTTATGCAAACGAAAGAGAACCAATGAAAAGTGAAGATAAAGGGACATATCCGTGGAATTTATTTGGAATCGTCCTTGATGAAAATTTCAAAAAAATTAATTTTAAGGAATCATAATTGATAAAATTGCATAATAGACATAGTAAGGTACATGTTGGACATTGACTTAGAAATGACATTTTAAAGCACTCAAAAGATACCATAATAAATTTTTTGAGTGAATAATTATTATAGCTCGTTACAGAACTCATTCAAATGGCATTATTAATGACTCTACAAAATTTCCATAATTAAATTTATTGAGAACAAATAATTGTCAATAAGTATTGTCGAATTATTATAAATAATTGTTCGTCAATATTTTCAATGGAGTTTCGTAACATATTTAGAATACTTGCACATTACCCCATAATTTACACTAATATAAACATTGATAATTTAGATATAATTTATAGATAACAACTATCGCGTAATTTAGCTAAATATACATTTTTTTAATTTTTATTTATTTTGTTTATCCGTGCAACTGATTCTTGGTATAGGAAGCTTTTTATATGAAAAATCTCGATGTAAAAGTAAGAAACTCTTGATATAAGAAAGATCTTGAACTAGGCCTGTGATTTCTTACGTCGAGAATCAGTTGTATAAGGCCACGCAAAGTTAATTTTTCGTTTTGCATAACATGGAATCTAAAAATTTGGGTCGGCGGGCGGGTTTTTTTTTTTTTTTTTTTTTCTGTCGGTCCTATCGGATAAGTTCGGAAGCTATCGGGTAGTACCGTATAAAATTGA